ATATTGTTTAGGAAGGGTGAGAAACAGAAAGGATTGACTGCAATGAAGGATCAGGTCCACAATATCTTTACTCAACTTCCACCGAAACTTTGTTTTCCTATCTTTCCTACCTCCTGGCACAAAAACCACAGGAAGATTACCAGTAAAAGAATGAGTAAATTGTGTACTTAATTTGAAAAACAGATATCTCAGAACTAACAAAAATTCTGAGATGTTTTAAGGAAGGTCAAGAATTATGACATCTAAAATCCAGGCAGAAAAATGTATAGGAAGCAAAGTGTGTTTAACATAGGGTGAATTCTAACACAGCAGCAGAGAACTGTCAACATGACATGAAGAAAAACAGGTTACAATTAATTCAGCTCGAGTTCCTTTGTTTCTAGCATCTATTTTCTACCTCCCTATACTGTATGGCAAGATCAGCACTACAAACGGCCTAGAGCGGAAATACTCTCCACACATAGCTACCCACAGATTATCCAGTAACTTGATCCCACAAACTTGCAGCACAGAGAAAGGAAAAGAGAAAAATCTGTTTACCATAAAAAATATATCTTCTAGCCTGGCTCAGTGGCTCAGCCTGTAATCCCGCGCCTTTGGCAGGCTGAGGTGAGTGGATTGCCTGAGCCCGCGGGTTCGAGACCCACCTGGGCAACTTGGTGAGACCTCATTTCTACAATAAATCAAAAAAAATTAGCCGGGTGTGGTAGTGCGCACCTGTAGTTCCAGCTATTTGGAAGGCTGAGGTGGAAGGATCGCTGGAGCCCAGCAGGTCGAGGATGCGGTGGCCGGGAGCAGCCACTGCACTCCAGTCTGGGCGACAGAGTGAGACTCCAACTCAAAAAAAAAAAAAAAAAAAAGAAAAAAAAGATATCTTCTAAATTCATTAATCCCATACAATCTTCACCTTTTCATTTGTGTTAAGATAACCTTACTCCTAGGCCTTTAGATGAATCCTCTCAGGGTTTAAATGACTGCAGCATATCCACCAATGAGGGGAATACACATTGCAAATACAATACTGCACTGCTTCTAAGGATACACTGAGAAAGAAATGAATCTTCCAACTGATCTTTGCTCACTTCACTACCCCAGTAACATGAAGAAGAATTTAAAAAGTTATTTAGGGTAGACACTTTATATGTAGGCAAATACAGAACAGGAGATTTTGCAAAGAGGACAATGTTTTTAAAAGCGTGAAGGCTAATGATTAGCTTGTAACCCATTTAAAGGCATATACAAAGTTCATCTGAAAATGGATGGTTTATTTCTGCTTTTCAATTGGTGAATTTTCCAGGGTACTAAGCTGAAGTTTAAGAAAATGCTGTGGTAGGAAGAAACAAACAAAGCCAGAAGGGTTGGTAACTTGTGACCCATCAAATGCCAGAGAGTAGAGAATATATGGTACTTTTAAGACCTCAATTCCATACCTAGATTGTGTTGAATTTCAGATCCTGCTCCCAGATGGAAACACACACACACACACACACACACACACACACACACACACACACACACACACGACTTCCAGACCTTGGGTGTTAAAAGGGCCTTCACACAGTAAATCAACCTACTGCTGTCTTGTTTTCTCCACAGCCAGACTGAAATAATATAGCACCAGCAGAGGTGTGAATTACCCCCATTCATCTTAATGGAGTGTTAACTTCAAAGGCTTGTTTTAACCATTTAAATGCTAAGCTCATGAGTAAACATTCTGTTAAAAAAGAGTACAATTTAAACATTCACCCTCAACATACGAAAGTAATTTACAGACCCAGTACTTTTAATTTAGCAAACAAGTCTCCAAATGTTAGAAAAGTATATATTTTCTGCTTTATTTAGTTTTATTTTGAATAGTTATTACCTAATAAATTATGAACATTAAGCTCATAATGAGAATATTTCCCAAGAAAAGTTCCAAGGGGAACATGAACAAGGTTTTTGGGAAATCCTGGTGAAGCGGGCTTTGCTTTTACCAGGTGTCTTATTAACTTCCTCCAAACACACAGAGAAAGTTGTGGTTCCAAACAGGTTACAAGATAAGGCAGAACATTAGAGTATAATAAAAGTGAACACCTCCACATATAATATTTCTTAATACTAAGTTCTACGCAGAGTGTTCAATAAGTTGTCCCTCTGCCAACCCTCCCATGATCCTATCTCATGAGTAAGTGACAAATGTATTAATTGATGCCCAGCTGTCATTACTCATAGCATTTGCCCAGGGGGTATCCATGGCTGTAGCAAATTTAGGTATATTTTAGTATTACTGGAATTATATTTAAGCAGATGAAAACCTATTTGTATTTAGGTTCATAATTTCATAAACAGAATAAGAGGGTACAAGTAGTAGCCAATCAGATTGACTGGCCCTGGCTGACCTGAAGTTGCATGGGAGACCATGCCTTGTTGTGCCCTGGGACCATGCTAAGTACCTAGTTTCAGGAGGCATTAGTAGGACAATACAGATAGGGTAGAACTGTGGGAAAGCACAGAAAACAGGCACTTGGGGCCAGTGAAGATAACTGTTAGGAAAGATGGAAGATGAAGAAATTCAAGATATGTTTCCATGTCCTTGGTGGAAAGCAAGTTCATTTTATTGGTTCAGATAAGGGATCAGACAAAGGGGATAAACATCTAATCTATTAAAAGAGCCTTTTTTGGTCTGCTCCTAATTTATACAAGGCTATTTAATCCTCTCAACACAACCCTGTATAATAGGTATTAACTCCATTTTATAGTCATGAAAGTGGAGGTTTATTAGAGAGATTAAGTAGTGTGCCTTTCATTGAGATTTGAATTCAAGTCTTTCTAACCCCAAAGCCTGGCTTTTTCCCCATTATATCATGCAGTTCTCAAGTTGCCAAAGAAGTATCTCTGATATTCTCACAAGAAAAGCTCAGTTGTCAGTTTTTCAGACTATTTCCTAAGTGCAAAGCAAGGGGCACCTGCAAAAGTGTGTATTTCCATATATGAAAATTGGTACTTTGCATGCAATTCTCTACTTTACGTGTGCACTGAGGTAGGATTACATATTTACTGATAAACCCTGGCTTTTGTAGGTTGCTAGCATGGGACGCTTTAAGCACATAGAATAATCCCGGGAGGAGAGCCCTAACTTCTAATTTCCAACCAGAAATAAGCCATGCCAATGAGAAGTCTGCGATGATTTATAACCTCCAGACAAAATACCATATATATGACCAACATTTGTCTGTTTGCTAAGTAGAATGTCAAATGTTTTAGTGACCAATTGAGAAAGCTCCAAGAACTTTCAACTACACAGCCAGTTCTCAAAATTCCATCTCATAAAGAACAGCAGAAAACCACAAAAGATGTTAGATAGGATTTGGAGGCAGGGCAAAACATGGAGTACAACAATCTCACAATTTTGTTATTAGTAACTGATGCTGACAACATTAATCTGAGCTAAAATTCAATTATGTATGTAAACTTAATACAATGATTTCTTTAAAAACAAGCAAACAAATGACTGATTCAATGTATTTAACTATATTAAAAGCTTCTGCTCTGTGAAAGACACTGTTAAGAGAATGAAAAAGCAAGCCACAGACCAGAAAAAAAAAATCTTTGCAAAACACATATCTCATTAAGAACAGATATCTAAAATATACAAATAGTGCTTAAAACTCAACAGTGAGAAAACAACTCAATTTAAAAATGGGCAGCTGGGTGTGATGGTGCAAACCTGTAGCCCCAGCTACTTCGGAGGCTGAGGCTTAAGCCCTAGAGTTTGAATCCAGTCTGAACAATGAAGCTAGACCTTGTCTCTCAACAACAAAAAGGTCCAAAGAGAACTGAATTGAACAGATACCTCACCGAAGAAAATAAATAGCAAATAAGTATATGAAAAGATGCTCAACATCATATGTCACTAGGGAATTGCAAATTAAAACAATGAGATACCACTACCTACCTATTAGAAAACACTGACAACATCAAATGCTGGCAAGTATGTGAGACAGCAGGAACTCTCATTCGCTCATGGTTGTCAGGAATGCAAATTGGTACAGCTTGCTTGAGAAGGTAGTTTGGCAGTTTCTTATAAAACTAAAAATATTCCTAACATACAATGTAGCAATTGTGCTCCTTAGTATTTACTCAAATAAGCTGAAAGTTTATGTCTACAAAAAATTGCTCACAAATCTTACAGCAGCTTTATTTATAATTACTGAAACTTGGCTGGGCTGAGTGGCTCAGCCTGTAATCGCAGCACTTTGGGAGGCAGAGATGAGAGAAGTGCCTGAGCTGGAGGGTTCGAGAGCAGCATGGACAACTTGGTGAGACCTCATCTCTACAGTAAATAAAAAATTAGCCGAGTATGGTAGCACATGCCTGTAGTTCCAGCTACTTGGAAGACTAAGGTGGAAGGATCGCCAGAGCCTAGCAGGTTGATGCTGGGGTGGCTGTGGCCATGCTACTGCACTCCAGCCTGGGTGATGGAGTGAGACTCCAATTCAAAAAAGTAAAAAATAAAAATAATAATGACCGAAACTTGGAAACAACTAAGAGATCTTTCAACAGGTGAATGGATAAACAAACTGTGGTATAGTCATACAGTGGGATATTATTCAGTGCTAAAAAGAAATAAGCTATCAAGCCATGAAAAAAATGGAAGAAACTTAATTGTATATTACTGAGTGAAAGAAGCCAGTCTGAAAAGGCTACATAATATATGACCACAACCATAAGAAAGACATTCTGGCAAAGACAAAACTATGAAGACAGTAACAAGATCAGTGGTCGCCAGAAATGAACCTTAATGTAGTTAGGAAATTTACTTAATAATAATAAGATATCAATATTGGCTCATCAAATATACCACTTTAACGCAAAATGTTAATACTAGGGGAAACTGTATGTTTGGGGGTTAGGAGGTATATGTGAACTCTATACCTTCTGTTCAGCATTTTTGTAAACATTAACTACCCTAAAAAAAGTCTACACATTAAAACAAAAGATTGATCCAATATATTTAAGAACATTTTGAGTTTGTTTCTTATTTTGAATATAACTGCTAAACTCCTACTTTCTTTCCCCTACCCACTGCCATTTTGTTCCACTTTTCTATTAATGGTTTTTATTAAAATGTCATTTTTCATCCAACGTGCCTTCCAAAATAATTCCTTCTTGCATATGGAGGTAAGTTATTCTTCATAAGCAGGATAATATTTCTCTCATTTATTAATCCAATCAAAAATGATGAGTGCTAGGCTAAAATTCCCAACCAAAATTCCCAAGATGAGCAGAACAAATGCCTATGGAAATAAGAAAAAAGATAATGAACAATTAGAGTATTTTTAAAATTTTGTAACCCTCCCCAATAATGTATTTTATATTCTGAAATATATTGATGTAGATAAAATACAAAATGACAAATTGTTTCTTAAAAGTCTTAAACAAACAAAAACAACTTACCCCAAGCTTTTTCCATGAGAGAAAATCTTCTCTGCTTAGTTTAAGATAAAACAGTCCTGGGAATATAAAAATCAAACACGTTGATGTACTGGCACCTTTAAAGTGGAAAAAAACAAAAGAGGATATTGTTGGACTCATATGTGGGGCTGGGTAAAAATTTTATTCATTTTATTATGTGGATTTTTTGAAATAGAAAACTTACCAACTACACCAAATACATTTCTAATGTCAGGAACATATATTGCAAGTAAAACAATGACAATATTGAGTGCTAGAGTGATTGAAAAATGGTAAATCCATGAGAATGGAAAATTTGAGAAAAACATCATCATTAAAGCTTTTCTGGCCTGTGTTACAGAAAAAGAAACAGATTTAGCAAAGATGAAGTGTCAAAGTCAAAATATTTGTTGGAGAAAAACATATATAGTAACCATGATATTCTTGCTTTCTAAACCATTTAAATTCTAAAAATACAGCATGAACTATTATTATAAAGTGTTTATACACATAAACTAAGTGTTTATACACGAAATCTTTCTGTGTGATCCTCATAAAAATTACTTTGCTTTAATTCTGGAAAAAAGTTTCACATGCAATTTTTTAAGGTTGCATCATTTAAAAGATTACCAACAATAGCACTGTATGATACAATCTCAAAGAACATTTTCATTAAATTCAACAGATAGAAAAATAAGCAATTTAAAATAGAAGTCATGTTTACTATATTAGGGTTATAGTTAGCATTAGAAAGAAACTCCATTTACTATTATTTTATATTACTTGATATTATTTGTTTCACAGCATGTAAATACATGAAAAATAATCCATTACACTTTCCATTGCTAAGGGGCAGTAGGTGATCATATCCCACAAAAGTTTATTCAGTGCCCGCTGTAATCTTGGCACTGCAGTGCACTCAGGGAAGAGGCAAGAAATCTTGACAAAACTCACTGTTAGAGATTCAAGACATCCATGCAGGAGCATTTATACTCAAAGTCTTTGTTTCCATTTTCTCAGAAATTCTTTAGATTCTTATGTATAGCAACCAGACGCAGAATGAAAATCTGTTCTGCCCCTTAAGTTATAATTCTAGAGCAAATAAAATATTTTGACTAAGATTAAACTAGAATGTCTATGTGAAAATAAATGTACAATAAACCAGAAGGCGTTTATTTTTGCTGACTTGACTTTTTCCTCTTCATGCACATTCTTTTGAAAACAGAATACAGAATTAAAGGGGGAGAAAACCCAAGATGTCAGAAGAACTCCAGTTTTTAAATTGGAAACAATGCTGTGGGAGAGCATAAATCTAAACTAAATCTCAAAAGCACAAATTAACTTTGTGGCTCACTATTATTTTGGTGTTTTCATGGGAGCTGTATGCAAGTATGAGGTCTCTGATGAGTTACTTGACAAATGAATAAGACACACAAGACTAGATGTGATTCAAACATTTCATGCTGTAAAGAATTAGTGTTGCCCTAGTAAGAAGCCACTATACTAAGCAACAAAACCCTTTAAGAGTACTTACAGGGAAGTGGATTAGAGGAACTGTCAAAAGCACAGCAAATAGTATGCATAACTTCACAGTCATGACAACAACATCATGTGGTAAGTATTTACTATAACTTTGTAGTAATTCTGACTCCACTTTGTCTGTGAATAAAGAAGTAATAATAAGAATCATATTATAAACTACTAAGATATCAACAGTAGCAAAATTATTTTCCTTTGCACTAATGGATCTTAACAGATTTTAATTTCCATTGTCAAATCCATCTCTGGTCTTCTTTTATCCTATGAAACACAGAGACATTACTTAAATATCTTTTTGAAACCTCTCATCTTTTTTTTCTTTTAAAATACAAAACCTCTAAAAATGACAATGACTGTATATACAAAAATGTTGTTTTAGAACTTTTGCATAATCTGAGGGTCTTGAACATTTGCATTGTTTGTAAGGTGCTTTCAGATGTTGTGTTGAATTTGGTCCCTATGACAATACAAAATAGCTCGGTAGGCTCAAAAATATTAAATGACTTGCCTAAGATAACATAACACACAGGGGCAGAGCCATACACCCACTTTTTGGTGCCAAAGCTGATAACTTCTCCTCAATACTACAGTGTTTTCTAGAATCTGACAGGGTTTGGTGCCTGCTACCTGCTTCATCAACATTTCATCTGTGGATGTATCTTTCATAAGAAAGAGAATGAAGTATCAGGGAAATGGCTTACTTAGTGAGTCCGTGCAGTAGTCAGCAACAGGACTATCCCTGCTGCCTGGGCACCACAGTGATCTTTCCTTCTCAAGTCTCCCCACCTCTAACCTGATGAGGGGTGTGGTGAGAGAGGGTGCTCAAGAACACAGCCTATCAGCATCTTGTGCAAAAAGATCAGTTTGTATTTACAGCAGGATGGCGTTTCTTTTTCTGAGCTGGAGTCTCACTCTGTCGCAGGCTGCAGTGCAGTGGCATGCTCACGGCCACGCCAGCGTCAACCTGCTGGGCTCAGGCGATCCTTCCACCTCAGCTTTCCAAGTAGCTGGAACTATAGGTGCGCACTACCACACCTGGCTAATTCTTTGATTTATTGTAGAGATGAGGTTTCATCAAGTTGCCCAGGCTGTTCTCAAACCTGTGGGCTCAGGTAATCCCCTTTCCTCAGCCTCCCAAAGTGCTGGGATTACAGGCTTGAGCCACTGTGCCTGGCCAAATGGCGCCTTTTAATTTGATGAGAGTATATGTTTTAGACAGGATGCTTTGAGGGAAATAAAAAGCAAACTAAACATACCTCTGTTCTCAAGAAACTTAAATTTTAAAGAGGAGATAAGATGAGTACACACAGATATAACAGAAAATGTATACACACACATACACATATAGGGGCAAAAGAAGTTCTAAACAAGAGGTATGAAGATTCTAAACTGTGACCACCCACAGCAATGTTCCAATTTCACTAATTACTAGCAAACTGTCTGAGTCTCCCAGTTCCTACATCTTCAAAATGGGAACAATAATATATTGAATTATAGTTAGTGACAGCATTAAATGAGTCAGTGTATGTGTGCTGACATTCAAAGATGTGTGGGAAGAGATCCTCTAGAAGCAAGAAGCAGTACAAGCAAAAGTCTTGAAGTAGCAAAGGGAACGTGTTCCTGAGAAAATCAGTGGTCCAGTAAATACCACAGAGGCTGAAATACTGTGAGTGGTGACAGGGTTGGAAATGCACTTAAGACCTGGTAATACAGCTCTGCATAGGGTTTGGACTCACTCTGGTAGGCCACAGAGACGCAATCATGACTTATGAAGAATAATGTCTTATGGTCTGAACTAAGCGAGAGGAGTATAGGTTGGAAGAACAAGAGACCCAAAACTGGGTGACAGGCTACTGTCATAATGTCTGAGCAGCAGTGAGAATCTGGAAAAAATGGAAATGGGAGGGAAATGAGCTGTCCAAAGTATCAAAGACATACTATACACAATGTAGAACTAATGGACTAAGTAGGAGACTAAGAAAAGCCAGGAAATCTGGATTCTATTTCCAAATCTGTGAAATACTTGGGAGTCTTTGGATAAATATGGCAAACTTTTATTTCCATTTTCTGAATTATAAAATGAGCTATTAACACTTTTTGCTTAATAAGCCCGTAGACTTTTTAAATAGTCTGGTTCTTATGCAACATTTGGGCATTGGCCTGACTCACCTGAGGAACGCTTTTCTCCTCCTCGCCATAATAATACTTCAACTTCTATAATCAAAGCCAATATAATTAAGCTAGGGTTATACTTATAGGTCCATTTAATCTGACAAAATTTAGAAATTAAAGTCTTGGGAGCTCTGGATAAAAGGATCCAAAGCAGCTCCCGAATCTCGAAGAACTGGACTTATTACAAATTCAAAATATATGTCACATGTCTACTCTCTCCTTTCCCAGGATGAAAACCTTTCTTCTGAGCTAGTCACTCTGTGTTCTTAGCTGAGCCTTAACATATGTAAGGGATAGAGAACAGCAAGCTTCTCTGGATTCAGACAAATCTCTACAAATCTCAGAAAGGGTCTAATGGTGATCTCTGCAAGCTATATAGACTACTGAAGTCAAGAGGCTGTCCTGTTTACACATTGTCAAACAGGGTATTACATTGACAAAGATTGTCACAAAGTAGCAGAAAGAACACTGGATTAGTATTCAGGAAATCTGCCTTTAATTCTGTGACAGGTCATTTCTCCTCTCTGGGTTTTAGTTGCTCATCTATAAAATGAATGGAAAGCCTTAACTTGAGGCTAGCTCTTCTGACAAGATCTTAGGCTCAATTAGCAATTTCTTTCTGAAGACAGAGTTCCTGTTATCTGATGGAGAGAGACCATCAAAAGTTTTTCTTGGTTATAGTTAACAACCCAGAAAAGAATCACAGGAAGAGCAAATCAGTATCTGCATCTTCTGTTTTTAGAGAAGAAATTACTTTTCTTTTTTTTTTTTTTTTGCGTTGGAGTTTCACTCTGTTGCCCAGGCTGGAATGCAGTGGCACGTTCATGGCTACCCCAGAGTCGACCTGCTGGGCTCTGGCGATCTTTCCACCTCAGCCTTCCAAGTAGCCAGAACTATAGGTGCACACTACCACACCTGGCTAATTTTTTATTTATTGTAGAGACGAGGTCTTACCAAGTTGCCCTGGCTGATCTTGAACCCGTGTGCTGAGGTAATCCACTCCCCTTGGCCTCCCAAAGTGATGGGATTATAGGCTGAGCAACCGAGCCCAGCCAAGAAATTACTTTTCCATCATTTATTCTATCTACCTACCTGCACCTATCAATCACCTACCTACCATATGATTTTTCTTAGATGTGTATTTCTCCATTATATAAAATTTAGATACTTGGAAGAATTTGTGATTAGTGAAGAAGCGATGAAGTCAGAGACAACTTGACAGCTTTACTGCTCACTTCCTGCTGTGTGGCCTGGTTCCTAACAGGCCACAGATGGGTACCAGGGTTGGGGATCCCTGATTTACATGATGACAACCTTAAGCCTTTGTGTTAAAACAACTATAACAGATAGATAGATAGATAGATGGATTGATGCCTGGAGCTTAAGTGATCCAGATGCTTCCAAAAGTTCACTTTTACAAAAAGTTGGATTTCATAAGCCCACTCTTTCCACTGGGCTTATGAAAGGTACAAGGAAACTTGTCAGACTTGGAAAAACTCTAGGAGATAAGTACAGTGCCATTATCAGTCATCATGTATGTCTAAAACCTCAGTATATGGGCAAAATTGAGGTATGGCAGAGAAATGAAAAAGCCATGGCTGATATATTAGCATAAGCACTCTCAAAAAAATTTAAAAAGACAAAACTATTAAGTGTCACACTATTGAAACGTGCATACGGCTATCCACCATGAAATCAGAGTCAAAATAGCTAAGTATCACCAAAGTAATAATAGCTATTTACCTGGAGAGTTCTAAAACTGTTCACAAACTGAAAGATGTATTCAGGATTTGACACATCGGGTGTAACTTGGGTTATAATGTGTTTGTTTGCAAATTAAACAAGACAGCTTACAACTTTTTTCTTGTTCTGGACTTTTAAGTTTCATTTTTTCTTAAAGTTCTTATCAGAAGAGAAAAAGAATCTACATACCGAACAGTTTTTCTAAAACAAATAAAAGATAATTTTACATTTGTCTTATACATTTAAAAGAATCTTTTAAAAAATTAATGAGAACGGTCATGGTGCATCCTAGAATGTACCTCTGGTGAATTCTGTGATGAACAAGTCTGAAGGCAGAGATGCCTGACACTAAGCATACTATAGCCCAGTGTAAATCCTTTCCTTTCTCAACCTGTTCTTTGCAATTAAGATGACTGACTTGCCCAACCACCAAACTTCTGAACTATAGTCTAATATACTAAATTCAAAATTTAAGAAAAACCACATCACGCTTGCACATTTTTTCTTGAAGAAAGACATCAATGTCCCTAAGCCTGAAGTTTTACTTACATGTTTAAGAAAATTTTCATACTAAGGTATTAATCTTAAACTCAATCCACCTTTATAAAAAAGAGAATCAATTTCTTTAGGCCCCTAGAGCCAACACTCTACTGCATTATAATTTGGCAGCCTGAACAAATTAACTACTAAAAAAGGGCAGAAATAAAGACCATATTCAGGTGTGAGATCATATTCAGGTGTGAGATCACGTATGTAACTATTTGTGTTGTCATCTATCACTCAAAAATATACTCACCATAAAAAGTGAGGTACCCAAAGAGTGCAGATATAAAATAAATGAGAAAACTTAAAGCAATCGCTGTATTGGTTACATTCTGCATTCTTTTCTTTGAAGGGCTAAAAGATAAAAATGGCAAATGTAGAATTAATGATCTGAATTATACCTAAAGAAACAAGCATTTCCCAAGCTAGTCAAGAGGATTCCTCAATCATTCAAGACCTACTTCAACATAACTATACACTAGAATGCCTAACGTGAAACTAGTACATAAAGATTGTACTTCGACTGAGATCGGTGGCTCAGCCTATAATTCTAGCACTTTGGAAGGCCGAGGCGAGTGGATTGCCTGAGATTGTGGGTTCAAGACCAGCCCAGGCAACTTGGCGAGACCACGTCTCTACAATAAAATAAAAAATAGCTGGGCATGGTAGCACGAGTCTGTAGTTCCAGCTACCTGGAAGGCTGAGGCAGAAGGATCACCGGAGCCCAGAAGGTCGACACTGGAGTGGCCATGAGCGTGCGTGCCACTGCATTCCAGCCTGGACGAAGGAGTGACACTCCAACTTAAAAACAAAAAAACAAAAAAAACAAAGATTGTACTTCTAGGAAACATTCTCAATTTGGATAGACCTAACTCTTGATTGTTTTGTTTTAAACTGACATTAGAATCCACTAGTGAGAGGAAAGGATTCATGTAAGAGAATGTCATTCAATCTGAAAGCCCTAAAAAAGATACACAATACATGTAAACTATTCCAGGATCCTGTAGTACCTTTGAAGTTCACAGCATATGGGCAATATTGAGGTATGGCAGAGAAATGAAAAGGCCATGGTTGGTATAGCATAAGCACTCTGAAAAAAATTTTAAAAAGACAAAATTATTAAATGACACACTATTGAAACCACTATTTCATTTGACAACAAACTCAGTTCTTTAAAAAATGAATTTGATTAAATTTAATTCATCTTTCACGAGTCATCTCTTTGTTAAAAAAATAAGATTTTTTTAAAAGAGAGAAACACCTATTACCAGAAAATGTTTTGTTTGATAGGTTGCTTGCCTGTACTAGCCAGAATATTTTTTGGCTGGCTCCCCACACCATGATGTTTTCACTATAATCACTGCTTCTTCTATATAACTTTGGCAATATTTTTTAAAATTAGCTAAGATAAATAATATTTAAGAAAAAGTAGCATTTTAGAAACATTCTGATATTAATCCTCAGTCTTTCTTAACGTATGCACAATTTAAATACATCTTATTAGCTTAAGTAGCAATAATAGTTAGTACTTTTGAACCTGCTTTCACCAACTCAATCCAGGGGAATACTGAATATATTAATTATATTTTAGTACTGCCAGCATTTTTACTAGGATCTCTTTCAATGAGCATGAACATCATTTATTCTGGACCTACAAACTCTTAAGAGATCCAAAGAAATACACAAGTATAAGGTTGTGTTTCATTTTTCTTATTAGAATACTTAACAAGAGCCAGAAGAAGTTACCAAAAAAAAAAAAAAGTTACCATTTAAGTGAAAATACCAAATGGATAGTGGTGATTTCTTTTCTCTTTTCTGCTCTAAAAAATTCTCTTAACTAACTTTAGGCTCTTCAACAAAAGAAGTTCCAGATGAAGACCTATCTTGGGACATAATGCCTGGACTCCTAAAATATCTGAGGAGGGCTATGAGGAAAGAATCTGTAGTGTTTCCTGAGGCTGGATTGGGAGAATACGAGTTTAATTCACAAATTGTTTCATACGTTGCTTTATTTCCTGGCTTGTCAATCATCCTACCTAGACCTCTAAGGCACACAGAGGTCTTCACCATGTAAAAGATATGGTAATCTCCCTTGAGGGGCAGAGAGATAGTTCTCACTTAAAAGTCAGTGATAAAAACAAAAATTCTGTATGGAGGAGTAACCACACTAACATTCTACACTAACAGAGTTATACATGAGTGGGGAGGATTCTAGCATCTGGGACCTACAAAACAGCATTTCAGCAGAATCAGAAAGTGAAAATGAAGCTTGCAGCAACAGGGAAGACTTTGAGCTCTTCTAGAGTGGTAAAGTAGAGAGAGATCATCCAGATCACAGTTTTTGTCTCCTCTGAGGATGCTCAGGGGCTCTTGCAGGCATTTCTAGTATCCTTCAGCTCTTAGAGAAGGCAAAGGGTCTTCTAGTCTCTGCTCCAAGCATCATAAATTATAACTTTGGAATGTTGGCCAAAAGTTACATTGGCAGTATTCTATCACTGGTCCAATGATGAGGCTGTTTAGCTGCAGACCAAGGTTCTACTCACAGGGGAGGAGTTTTTGATATAATTGGCTATTTAGCTTTACAAGTCCAGAGGGCAACAGGAAGTCTGCATCCACAGAGGACCTTATTGGCCAGACCAGACATTCGGTAAATCTGTTCTTTTAGGCAGAGGCCCATTTAAAACAGGCTCCATTTAAAAGCATGCCAAGAAAAAAAAAAGGTGGCTGTTTCATAATGGGCCACCCTGTGTTAAATAATAGTATTCTTCTGGTAAGCAATCCTATACTTAGCACTTTCATGAAAATTAATTAGTTACAGGTACAAAGACCTAAGAGACCCTGTTACACAAACCTCTTAAAACTTGAAATGTGAAAAATCAACCCAAAGTATCTGTTAATAACTTACACACCTCTTTGGCAAAATGAAAGAGCTTTGGTTTACAATCATCCGTTCCATTTGAAATCTGTTTAAGAGTATTGAGGGGGAGAAAGAGAAACCAACAGCCATTAAAATTCAGAATACATAAACAAAAATGATGAATTTATTATTACTAGGTTTTCAAATCAAAGTGTTTCAAAACAAAGTTCTAGAATGTCATTCAGCCATTACTTATTACTTAGAAAAAAAATTAGTAGTATGTTTTCTTTTTTTAAGTTTAAAATAAAAAGGAAGAAATCGAAAAGAAACTATAAGCTATTACCTGGAAGCATTCCTCTCTGTAATTTAATGTCAGAGGACAAGGGATGGACCATTTTTTAATTACTACCTGTAAAAATAAAAAGCATCAGCACTCAGATTATTTCTTATAAAGTTAATAAGAAACTGATTTTAAATAGGCCAACATTATTTCAATTAATCTAATTCCACACCAAATAAGATGTTAGCTGAAGATTCTCTACTTACATGATTTTTCCCAGTTAGAATGGGGTCATCATGTAATATGGTCATCTGCAGCAGGTGGGGTAGGGTGATGCAGGGTGCTACACATCTGTTTAATGGGAATCTTCTCCATTAAAGACTGAGGGTATTTTGTGACAACTTTTAAAATTCCAGTAGCATCAAGGTATTTTTTAAAAAACTGTAAAATGGGAGGGAGCATGGTGCTTTCAATGACAACCACACAGGAATATGGTTATCTATGGATGTGGTATCAGAAGAGAAAGAAATATCTACAACAATTTGGGGAAAGACCACAGGCAGAAATAAGTAGAGACCTTATGCAAAAAGGGAGTTCAGGGATTTCTGATGTGTAAGTGTTGTCCTCCTTACTTTTACAGATTTGTATTATTTTTGGCAAATATGAAGAAAGCTAGCTAGAATAAGAGCATACAGCTAAGGAACCCCAACTGGTAAAAGTAAATTAAAAAAAAAATTAAAAGAAATCCAGAGGGATGCTGTTTCCCAGAATTAATCAATGAAAATGCTCCAGGATTTTACTCTTAATTGTGGCCATCCTGTTCCTAGACCTATAGTTGTGGCCATGTCAACATCTCCATTGTTACGTTGTTTCAGTGCACATAATGACTCTGTAAATGTTTGCTCCAGGCTAAATCCCAGCATTCAAAGGGGCAAAGGAGAATAAAGGAAGTATTTATCCTTTGCAGGAGACCAGTAAGTAAACACTATTCCTGTTTCTATTTGGTACTTATCTAGTTTTTGATTTTAACTAATTCCATCAAAATTTTATACAATGATAAAACAGATCTAAGGAAAACATATACTTTTAGGATTAATAATAAGTAAACTAAAGAATCACTCCTAATTAAAAACCTCACCAAGGAAGAGGGGAGAATTATTGTATAAAGATAAACTGGACAAGATGCTTTGACACTTCTAGGTAAGTATTCAAATGAAATAAACAAAATGGTCAATTTACCAATGGGGAAAGAACAAAATCAAAAGCAATAATCCCACTATCCTTGAGGATGGGGCTGGGGAGAAGCCCTAGAGAAGCAAGGCTGCCATTGGTCTCCTTTCATCCGTGTAGAAACTGCTCTAAATCCAGTTTCTCCCACTTTTCCCTTACTGGCAGTGGTGGTGTTGACAGAAACAGCCATTTACTAAGCACCTGCTGTGTACCAGGTACCTTGATAAGCTCTAAATTCATTTATTTTATCAGTAGTTTTTGTCTAAGCTTTCAAATAAAAATATTTCAAAAACAATGCTCTAAAATGCAATACAATCATTACTTTTTTATTCATTAGAAAAAGTCATTAGCAGCTTGGTTTTATATTAAAATTCAGTTACTACAACTAAATTCTCTGCGAAGATCCATCCCACATCAAGCCTGCCTGCTACCATGGGTGATCTTATCATGCAGAAATACAGAACAGAAATGGAAAGAGACCCAACAATGAGGAAACATTAACAGGGAATCTTTGCTCAGATTGAGAATAGAACATCCTAAGAAGTCAACTCCAGGGATTAGAAACACAAAGGGAGAAAAGATATTAAGTATTTAAATACTTTTCTGAGCCTGACAACAGAGTGAGATCTTGTCTCTACAAAAATCAGGAAAATTAGCTGGGTGTGTGATGCATGCCTATAGTCCCAGCTACTCAGGAGGCTGACACAGGAAGTTCACTTGAGGCCAGGAGCTGGAGCATGATCATGCCACTTTTGGGGGCGGGGGTAATGCATGGTGGCTCATGCCTGTAATCCTAGCACTTTGGTAGGCCAAGGCAAGAGGACTGCTTCAACCCAGGAGTTCAAGAACAGTTGGGCAACAAAGTGAGACTTCATTTCTACCAAAAAGAAAAAAACTAGCTGGGCACGATGGTATGTTCTTGTAGTCCTAGTCACTTGGGAGACTGAGGCAGGAGGATCACTTGAGCCCAAGAGTTTGAGGCTGTAGTGAGCCAGTGAACATACCATGATCACTCCAGCCTGGGTGACACAGTGAAACTGTCTCAGAAAAAAAACAAAAAAACAAAAACGTGTTCACTTGCACAAAAGTCTTTCCTTCCTTTTTCACTCTGCTCTAAGTCCTTTCCATCTTTCATGGCTCAGCAAGTTTTTTCCCACCATATTCTTTACTCTAGCTCTCAGAGATCCTTCTCTCCTATCAGCTCTTGTGACTCTTACACTGAAGCAAATATATCAGTACTTAATTATGTATTGCCTATGCTATTCTCTATTTTTAAATAAATTAATCTTATTTTCCCTACTAGACTGACAGATTCTTAAGAGTTGTGTCCAGGTTAAATGTCCACACTCTACAATACCTGACACAGTGTTTGGTAGAAAGAAAGATTCTGACTAAAATCCATCTAAATAGGTGTCTGTTTTCATTACTGACATTAAAGTATTGCTTAGAATACTAACTACTCTGTACTTAAGACAGAACTTTTGGAAAGAATGGCAATTCATTTGTATTCTAAAGTGTACCAAAAAAGATGAATTTACCAGAAAAGGTTACCATCATTCTGAGCCACTGATAAAATTTATTTTCAAAATTTTTAGGTATTTGGGAGAGGGAGCAAAAATTTGTGCTAAAATTTTTAAATGAAAATAAGGATCTGGGATAACAGCTAGAGCATAGGTTTTGATTTATGTTATTTGAAGAGTATAATTAAGAAAATAATAGTTTTCTGGACTGATTTTTTAAATGTAGCATAAATATTATACATATTTACAAACCTATGTTGACCCAAATAATCAATGAAAAACTTGGCATCTTTCCAAAAAAATGGGTTTATATATACATGTTTCCTTTTCCTAATCACGATGTATTTCAAAACCTAATGTTTAGATAATCTAAAATAAATGTGCCAATTAAAAAGAACATTAAAAGAGTGTATAGAGTGTTCACTATCTCACTGTAGATTAAATTTAAACTATGCTCATAGGATAAAATCTGAGCAGATGGTTTGTAAAGCATTGCAATAAATGCAGAATAAGGGTACTATTTCCATATGACTGCTATAGTAGAAATCTGCATTGAATTAAAGAGTATCTGCCATGACAGAAACAAAAACTATAGTAGGCATATCATATCAATACAGTTCATCTGCTTTAAGCTATTGTCTATAAAAATTAAATTACTCCTACCTATGCAATGCTTGGATTACCAATTACCTGTGAGGGAAAAACTAACGTTATCTACAATGATTCTCTTTAATATTCATGCATTCACTTGCATATGTAGGCCACTTCTAACCATAGAGATGCTTCTTGACAATCAAATTATGATGAAAATCTTTATTGTTTCTCTCTTCAATATGGAACCTACAAAGTGTATGTTCAATTTACTTCTTTGTAAGGTACAAGTCAGATAACTAGGGGAGAGAGGAAGAGGAATAATTTTGACATTGATAAATTCAACAAATGATTAAGTACAAACATTGTTAAATATTTTTAGTGTTAAGAGCAATCATTAGAGCATAAATACATATATACACTAGAATCAGGGTCACTTCCACTTTGTTTAAATAATTTAAAGTTGTTTTACTGTGTCTCAGAAGATAGCTTAGTCTAAGTTAAATGCACCTAGGTTGTTTTGACAGCTTTGAAATCTGGCTCTTTAATAAGGCTTACTACTGATATGCTGTCTTGCTCTTATATATGGCAGTTATCTTTCATCCATTTCTCAATAACAAGGAAGAGATTAAGCAAGTGTACAAAAAGGACATTTGGATATGTATATTCCTGGCAAGTTAAAAATGTTTAATTCAACCTAGGACTTGACATTTAGATACTAAAGATGAAAGAAGGCGCTATGCAAAGAAAAGAGGACTTCAAAAAAATTTTACACAAAGATACTACCTTTAGGATGTTAAGATCTGCTTTAGAAGAATAAAAAGGAAATAAGAAATTCAAGTTCTCTTGTATTTTCACATTAAATTATTTTATAATATCAAAATAGATTAAATTTACTGTCATGTTTTTCTGTTATAATAGAAATGAGTTAATTTAAAAATGAGAAAAATATATCCCACATATGAAGAAAAATATTTATTTGCAGTAATGTTTTTACAGTTTAGGACCAGACTGGACTGATCCTTTACACAATACTCTATAGAAATAATTAATATACCTACACAAATAATTATATTCCAACTAGGTTCTTAACAGAATTGGCATGCTCTCCTCTTTAGTTAGCCACACAAGATACTGAATTTGAAATGCTGCTCTAGCTAAGCCTCTTCAAAATAAATACAACGAAAAAAAATAATTCTGTGGAACAAAAGTGCTTTTCATAACACAATGAAACAAAATGGGATACCCTTCCCAACACAAAACAGGGTTAAAAGAAAAAAAAAGACATTAACACAATGAGTTCAATTTTAGTGAGGAGATAAGCAATGCATTATATTTTAAACTTACCACAAGGGCAAAGAACACCATAAAGAAAAATGATAAACTACTTGTGTAGCCAAGAAAGCCTGTAAAATAACAGTAAAATAAAAGGCAATTTATAAGGAAAGTGATCTTAATGTACAACTCAAGCTATACATCTTGGGCATGTTTTCTATTACAGGGGTTGGTATCTGGGGCCTAGGGCTCAGAATAACAACATTCCAACTATCTGTCACAGATCATTTATGTAGCTCTGTACAGCAGAATTGGAACTGGCTTACCACTAATGGTACACTGTAAGGAAAGGTTGCTCTTTAATGTTCCACTGTAAAGATTTTATTTTAGTGGGGCAGACAAAATACTACTGCAAACCAAGCAATAGGTTAACTAGGCAGGGCTGAAGGCTGAACAACTTAAAATAAGGCCAAGTTTAAAATTATTCACAACCACTACCCGTCAGCCAAAAATGTGGTACTGTGAAATTCTAAAGCCTCTTAATATTTCTCTCTCTTTCTTTTTTCTAAACAAATCGTGTGCTCTTTTATAAAGACTTACCTATTTTGGGAAGAAGTGCAAGAGGGAACACAATGCCGATACAAATGATTAGTAGTAGTATTTGACCATCAAGATACCAAGACCTATTAGAAAAAGAGTTCTATTTTAGGCACAGGACTCCAGTGTTTGTTCACACACACACACACACACACACACACACACACACACACACACACACATTATAACCAGCCATTAGGAAAAGCCCACTTCCTTTTGTTAAAATGTTGTGAGATCCCATTATTCTTATTAATGAATTTACATTTAGGAATGTATAAAAACAAAGAGATGCCATTTTCAACTACCAAATACATATTTAAATATAAGATAACAGTCAATGTTGGTGAGGAGTGATGAGGTGTGCAAAAACTGGTGAAATAAACTATGTAAATTACTTTTCTGGAAGACAATAGAGTCTTCAAATAATTATACACTTTAACACTTATAAAAGAGGATTTAAAAAATGATAAAAACAAAGATTTTTATAAAAAGATGGTTACTGAAAACATTTAAAATAATGAAAATAAAAATAAAAATGTAAGACCATGATAATTTTGAAAAACCAATGAATATTTTTAAACACTGTGTTTGTGTGCATGTGTGTATAGCATGATAATTTTAAGGAACAACACAGATGCACTAGAAATGGAAAAGAGCTACAATATACTGACAGTCATTATCTCTGAGTGCCAAAATGAAAAATGAAAAAATGCCCAAAGGAGGACCAAAGCAGATTCCATATGTTAGTTAATTTATTCTTTTTAGTTTTCTATATTTTTCCAAATTTCAGGAATAGGCAGGTATTACTTTAAAATATTCGAATTTTCATATAAAGGTATTAGAATACTGAATGAGAAAAAGGTAAATTAATAGTGTGATTTTGCATTTGTTCATTAAAAGAAACAAAAGTAGATGCATATAAAAAGCCAGAAGGATATATTTAAAATACCAAGAGTGGCTATTTTTATGTGGTAGAAATACGAGTATTTTAAATTTTCTCCTTGTTTGCATATATGTGGTTTTAATTTTTTCAATGTAAAATACATATGTAGAAATTTTTAAAAGTTAAAGTTAATTCTACAAGACCACAGTAGATTTGTACATAAAGGACAAACAATTCATGAAGGAAATACAACTAGCAAACACACACGAAGAAAAATCCAATCACTGGTGCTAATTAGAGAAGTAACAAGACTGTTGAAATTAAACTGCAAAATTATTAAACAAAAATATTCAAGGATGTAGCATAATTGGACTTCATATATGCCAGTGATAACATCAATTAGTGCTATCTTCTGGAAAAATATGTAGTAAGAGCAATAAAAATGCAGTGGCAACCTATTCTAAGAAAATAATCTGAAATAGAGAAAATTCTAGATGCATGATGCCTGTTGAATACAACATTATTATATTATTAAGAAGCTGAAGGAAAACTCTATATGCCCAACATTAGAAAATAGGTCAATAACAGCAATGGACTTTCATGTAGTTTTTTAGAGAAAACAATCTAGTAAAATGGAAAATTATGATATGAATACAAAATATATGATTATTAACTATATCTTTTAAAAGCTGAATGGTGAAAATTTTAAAAGAAATGAAAATGTAGATATAATATCAATATAATTCTTGAGACAATGATTTAGGTTAGAGATAGTATTATGTATAATTTTTCTTTGCATTCTTTTTAAATTTTCTAAAATACAGTTGTCATACTTTTACACTGAAATATTTTCATACACATATGCCCAATGGTAACAAAGTGAAACTCATGCTAAATGGGAATGGGGGTATCAAAGTCCAATAGGGATTACTTTTTCACATCATTTGGTAGATGATCTCAAAATTTTCATTTTGTAAGAGAACAGACCCTCTACCAGGTGGCCAGCCCCCAAGTGCCATGCTGCAGTAAGAAAGAGTTTTCCTCTACATAGGTTTCAACCCCTGGCTTCTAACATGAACTTTATGATTCACTGTATGTCTTTTATACCCTAGTTTATGAAGAAGTCCTCCTCAATGTATCTTTAATAGTTACTGGTAGGTGCTGACAACTTCCTCTTTAGCAGAACAAGAGAAGGAGCAGCAGCAGAAAAAGCACCCTGATCATACTCTTCCCTCTCTACCCTAATTTATATCCATAGAAAATGCATATGCCAGAAAGCAGATCTATGCACAAGGATTTCTAGTTTTAGTGTTTGCACATGCCCCTCAGTTCCTGGTATACAGGAAGCACTAAAAGAGTATACATATTAAAAATACAAAACAATGCTCAACATGCTTACCTTCTAGTTACTTTTGAATAAGAATAAAAATAGGAACTTCAAAATATCTTTCATTGAGAAGCACCTGGCAACTACATTTCAGAAGCTGGCAAAAAGCCCAGGGTTCTATGTCTGAAATGTCTTTCCTTTGGGGACCTAATATCAGACCCAGACAGTTGCAGTGCCAGGAGAAAAAATACCCAAAGGCGGACCAAAGCAGATTCCATCTGTTAGTTCTGCTGTCCCTGGTAGACAGCAAAACTATACTGTACATTTGAAAGTCTGTTAAGAGTATAGATGCCATATTAAGTGTTCTCACCATAATAAAATAATACAAACATTTATTATAAGCCAATTTAACTCTTTAAAGGGGGGGGAATGTCTTGCAGCATGAAGGTAGAGTTGTACAAAAGGGAGCATGTTAATCCCCAGGACCAGGACTTTCTTATCTTGCATAAGAATAAAGGAACATTTTTTGAAATCCTGAACAACAGTTGCTTTACACTATTTCAGATCACGATTTATTCATGTGTATAGAAGTCATTTGACTAACCAAAACACTAAACTGTGGGTCTGAAGGTAACTTTACCTCCTCCCAGAAGTAACTCACAATTAAAGTTATGGAATGCCAGAGCTGGAAGAGACCTTAGAGATCAACTGGCTCAACAACTTCATTTTATGTCAGTAAAATCAGCAAAAGGATGAGGATGATCCTAGTGACAGTAGCAATGGAAATACTTAAGTGTAATGTATTTTTCAGACACTACCTCACTTACTTCAAAATCATGCTTTGCGCTCTTCTTTTCACAAGATTAAACTTTAAGTCTGTAATAAAATATAATTTGTCTATGCCAGGTTTGACCACTGGCTATTATTAATAATATCTCATCCTCATTAATTCATGTTAATAAAGCCAATTGTAAGTATAGTGCTTTTCTTTACCACTCATTAACAATAAGGACAACACTAAGGCATAGTAAAGTTAGTTTAGATTTCGTGTGTTTGTCATTGCCAAATGAATTGTGTTTGGCAATGGATATTTTCCAAAGAACAGAAATGATTAAACTTATAGAAAAAAAACCCACCCAGAGAAATACAAACTGGTAAAAACAAAGCTCAAAAAGTATATATCAAGTAAATTTATTTTACCAATCAATATTTTAGAAGAACGTACTAACTTTAAATTTTTTCCTAAGGGGGGAATAAAGAATTACCTAACAGAACTCCTGTTTTCCTACTGTGACCTAAATATACATTCTCTTTAAGCCAAAAGAATTAGAGTAAAAAGTTTTATACTTCCTAAAAAACGTGTTTGATCTGTGGATTTAATCCTGTATGATAAAAATGTTCCAAGTATGAAATATAGAGTATAAATCCTTAGCTGTATCACAAATGCTTTGGCATGCAGATGTTTTTTTCCATATTTTAATGGAAACCAGATTTATTTATAAGTTGCTTTATTTCATTCTCGAATGGAACAAGAGTATCATATGTTCCAAATTAGGCTCTTACTCACATCCCATATCAATTATGTAACTCAAATGTAAGACAACTTAATTGTGTCAATCATATTCCCCGACAAGATCATTAAATGTTAACAGAGAGCTTCCAACTTTTAACAGTCATAGATTTTTAAAATATAAGTTATTCTATGGAAAATATAGACATATCACGAAAATTCAGTAATTATCATTTTTGACTTCCAGTAGTAATTTTTGAAATTAGAATATTATAAACACAAAGTTTCTTTTTGATGATATCTTTGTAAAGGTTTATATTTCACAAAGGTACATCAAACTCACAGATAATCCAGGAAGTTCACCTAAAAGATCTTAATTGAAATTTATGGTTAATCTAACCTTAAAATAAAACCATATTAACATTTGTTTCTTAATTATTTTACAGCATTAAGTTTTAACAACTGATGATTTATCTGCTTTCTAATCAATTAAGATCATAAGCTATTTACTAATTTTTTTCAAACTCTGATATCCAAAATAAGTGAATATGTCTAAGTTGTTAAAAAAGATGTGCAATTATAAAACATAGAAACAGAGATGATACAAACTGATCATAGTATTTTGAAGTGTACAGTTTAAAAACCTATTTCTGACATGTAAAAATAGCATTTTTAAATCATTTTCTAATATGATTGAGATGGAAGTTCATTTAATTTTTGTTTTCAGAAAGACACAACCCAACAATGTAAACGGCAGATGATTTCAAATGAAGCCATTTTTAGAGGAAGAAAACCTGTTTCAATATCAATTCTGCCATACTACTTTAGTTATTTCTAAAATATTACATGTATTTATGTCCCTCCTTTTTCCACAAGGATATATGACAATTAAAATGTAACTAAATCACCAAATTCAGGACCAAGAGAAAGGAAAACACATGTGACCACTATTAGAATTAACACAGTTTACATAGATACATTCAAATTTGACTGGGCTTCTTGGTAGTCAGAGGAAAAAGGGAAACTCTGTTTTTAATACAGTCATTACTATCATAATTTCATAATTATCCACATTTACACTCTTGCTATTAGCTTACAAAACATGTGCATGTGTATCTTATTTGATCATCTCAACAACTTTGTTAAGAAGGCAATATCGGTACCCCTATTATAACCATGTTAAAACAAACAAACAAAAAACCACACCAAAAAAAACACAAAAAAACCTTAAGGGTCAAAGTTAAGTTTAATGGCCAAAAGAAGTTAAATTCCTGAGTTTACTGAACATGAAATGGATAGAACACATGTCTCCTTACCCTTAGTCTAGCATTCTTTATTCTATCTCACATTGCCTTGAGTTCTAGGCCCTAAATTATACAATAAATTTCTCACATAGAATTTGAGTAATAGCTGTCCTTAATATTTTTACAGCAAATACAAAAGTGAATTTGATATAGCTATTTCTTGTAGCAATTATTTATAAAACTAAGAGCACAAAACCAAAATGTAACTTGATAAAACTGTAGATAAAACAGGGCAGTTGTGAGCATCAGATGTAATCAAGAATGTAGAAACCTCATAAACTGTAAAATACTGTATAAAGGAACAATATTTTCTGATGATGCAAAATCATTAAGAATTTCTACCTATCTTTTTCAGCCACAATTTCTGGATGGTTTCCATTCAGATCTAAAGTATACCATACGTTCCGTACAAATATGTATTTGAGGTAGAATTCCATTGTAGAATTATTTAAAGGAACCAAGTTGTCAAAGCTAAAAACTAAATTTTGAACACTTTCCTTTCATTACAGAACAAATTCAATTTTTGCAGCAAAACCACCAAATATTCAAATCTAAAAGTCTGATGGGTTTTGTGTTGTACTTTGAAACTTAACTATGTAAAATAACTTGATGACAATTAAAAGGATTTTTTTTTGTCTTTTAAAATTCATTTTCTAGAAATTTCCTGTACTACATAACGAAACAAAAAGCACAGCAAATTTTGATTTTCGCCTTAAAAATAGATGAATCAAGTCTTTAGAACACAGTATTTTTTTTTCTTTTGAGTTGGAGTCTCACTCAGTTGCCCAGACTGGAGTACAGTGGCTGCTCCCGGGCACTGCAGCCTTCAACCGCTGGGCTCCAGCAAATCCTTCCGCCTCAGCCTTCCAAGTAGCTGGAACTACAGGCGCGCGCTACCACGACCGTCTAATTTTTGATTTATTGTAGAGATGAGGTCTCGCCAAGTTGCCCGGGCGGGTCTCGAACCCGCGGGCTCAGGCAATCCACTCACCTTGGCCTCCCAAAGCACTGGGATTACAGGCTGAGCTACCGAGCCCAGCAGAACACAGTATTTTTTTAACTGAAGAGAAAGAGGTACAATGTGGTTTAATAGTGTTTTTAATATTGCTTTAAAAACAGGAAATGAAACAAGTCCTTGCAAATAATAATTGCTTCTTTACCATGCTATATAGTAGGAATCTCATATAAGCATGGCTGTAACTGCTACATTCTTTATCACTATGATTTCCCAAGATGTGACAGTGGTATTATCATACATTCTCCTCCTTTGCTTAAGACCTTTACTACCAGTCCTTTCAGCCTTCCCTCATCCCCTACTCCAATCTTTGATAGCCCCAGAAATTTCTCCTTACTCTTCTCAAGAGCTATTTCAGACTTGTCTGAGCCTGTTTTACATCCCCAAGGAAGGATTCTATCTGGTGCTTCAGACGGTTCACAGAATTTTGGACATATTATGGGTAATCAATAAACATCTGCTAGTACTACTCCACTCCTGTCTAATTTGTGAGCGTCTTGAGGGCAAGGACTACATTTGTTTTACTTGTTGCTAGAGCTTAATAAATATTTATTGAATTAATATATAAATGGACACAATGTGAAATACTTTTTCTTACCTACTGTGGTCTCCATTCAAAAATTCTGAAATAGCAGCAGGAAGCTCTGTTTTAATAATTAAAAGATAGGATGACATAGCTGCAAAAAATAATTTAAAAAGTTCCCATTAGAACTCTATATTTTTTAACCATTTAAAGAATAGTCTATTCAGAAACACAGACATCCATTAGAGCTATACCAACATATGGAAGATTAATTCATAGTGTACTATCCTAAAGATATATACCAAAAATGGAGATATGCAACTATGTAGAGAAGAACTGATAAGTGCATTAAGTATCCTGCATATTTCAAGTCCAAAGCAAACGACTTAGGTAAGAGAGTATCAATTACAGATCATTTATAAATGAAGCTATGTATGAAGTTTTACAAAAACTCTCAAACACCCCAGTCTAAGGCATTAGAGGTTAGTTTAGGAACAACTGACATAGAAACAGAAGTCTAATAAGCTGGCTAATAACTTTGATTATTGCTCTTTTCTCACTAGAGAGATGCCTCTTCCCCCACTAGAGAGATGCCTCTTCCCCACAGAAGTCTTGTTCCCTCTCTTCCTTTCTCTTCCTCTCTGGTACCCAACCCTACATTATGAACACATAATAAGACAAAAACAGAATGTATAATGAAGTACATATTAAATTGTTCTAAAAAAAAAAAAAGGTTAGAAAAGAAACCATGAAGCATATTAAAGGGACAAAACGTCCACCTTTTGTTCCATTTTATTGATAGGGTTCATCCATACTATGCAAGCAGAACCTGAAACTGGCATTCTCACGTTTTATCAGACAGGAGCCAAGAAATAATTAGCCTTTATAGTACTGTAATAATGATCCTAATTTTGACGTTGCTATAAAAAAACAAACCTATAAACCTTTCATCACATACTAGGAAATGTCTTAATATGGCTACAGAACTCATTTATATGTAAATACTTGGGTTTCAAATTAAATGCTTCAAAATATAAAAACCCAGATGATTTGGAGTCACAACTTCAGTTTAACAGAGTAAGAAGCTCTTTCCTCCCAGAGACTGAGGATTTAAAAAAAGAGTCAATAATAAATGTCCATGAAGAACAAAGAGTGTACTCTGTGTGCACATTAATTTTATTATTTATTTATATTTTAGGAAACATTTCAACTTTCTCCCTAGATCTACAAAAACTAAAAACACAAAGGAATGCCAAGTCTGAATGGCAAAAATTTGGGTAAAATGTGATTAAAAGGTTCACATAGTTTAAAAAGAATGTGTAGTTCCCAATCAACATGCTTGAAAGTAGCTGAAGTTCTCCACAATTACAATGCTATAAGATCACTCAACTCCAGAGGAAAAAATATACAAACCAGTTTGTGTGTACATTTGTATGGAAATAGATAATACTATATACAGACACAAACATAAACACACATTCAATTTTTTTAGTAAAACAGCATGTACTTATGGCAAAGTAAAATTTAGAGCAGTGAAATAAATAATCACTTCTCTGTAAATATATACATACCTATTTATTGGTTTGTGACTATTTCTTTTTCCCTAGCAGAAGTATAGCTACTCACTAAAACCCATTGAGACATTTTTGCAAAATCTTTAGTTGTGGGGGTATTGCAAATGACTGTATGTGAAAATGTATTCTATATTGTTCATATTCTCATAAGGAAAAATTGCTACCAATTTGGCACAGAACAGAGGAAGATTTATATTAATCTCCTCTGCTCAATGATTTGGAGTTTTTATAATATTTTATCTATTCCAAAGAACTATACACATATGGTGCAACGATGAAAATCATGAATTGAAGTTTCTGAAACTGGTCTAGAACTACTTAAATACATCTTGAAAGAGAGAAAAAAAAAGACAAAAGTACCTTGAAAACAAGGACGGCAGACTTCCTACATAATGTCATTTATTATCTGCCCATCAGTCTTTCTTGCTTGGATTAATTCAACTAACACCACATGCATTTCTAAAGTTTCAGACATTCGTCTCTTTCAGTAATTTTCTATTATTTCTTTTGGATCTTTAGTTGTAAAAAGCTTCAATGAATGTGAGATCATATTTCTTTCTATTATACAATCTGTCATTCTTTCCAGAATTTCTATTAGCCCCTGGCTAATCGTTTGACCACTTTTATCCTCTGTTGTAAGCCTTAACTCTTTCATTTTCAAATGGAGTCCTATTTCATTAGATTTCATTCTGAAAAATCATGTATAGTTTCAGAACTATGAACTCAACAAAAGACCTCAGCATACAAGATATAAATATAATAAAACATGCAAAATACTACTTCTTTCTTAGAGAATGTTGATGGATATTTTAGAGCTACAAACCACAGAGCTTGCTATGAAGAAAAACCTCACAGATTAAGCAAGTACAACAAAGAAAGACACTAGTCACTGTGGAAATTATATTTTCTTAAGCACAGTTAAACGTTCATGTAAGTTTAACACATTATATTCTATATAATTACAGAGAAGAAATAAAAGGATTGCCAACTAAATATTAAGTCAGGAAATATATATATATATATATATGTATATATATATATATATTTTTGGAGTTGTAGTCTCACTCTGTCACCCAGGCTACAGTGCAGTGGCATGCTCACGGCCATCCCAGCGTCAACCTGCTGGGCTCCAGCGATCCTTCCGCCTCAGCCTTCCAAGTAGCTGGAACTACAGGCGCGTGCTACCATGCCCGACTAATTTTTGGATTTATTGTAGAGACAAGGTCTCACCATGTTGCCTAGGCTGGTCTTGAACCTGTGGGCTCAGGCAATCCTCTCGCCTTAGCCAGGAAATATATCCTAATTAAATTCACATAAAAAGAGCAATTGGCTCAATAAAATGAACTGGAAATGTTTTGAATATATAATATCAATAGGAGAGATGATACATGCATTGTTTTTAACCAAAAGTTTTACTGGATATCAAATAGCTGGCTGCCACACATTTTGTCTCATGGTTTCTGTTCACGGCATGAGAAACTGTTAAGTACTTATCTTAAAGACTGGTCATAAGCAAGACTCTGTAGATGATTTTTGCTGGTGTCAATACACCATACAAGACACACTACAAGCTACACCATCCTATGCTCTAAATGAACAGCTATAACAGGGACGTCCACAAGAGCCATGCTCACAGGTAAGTGGTTCTGGCCTCCCACCACCAAAGCCAATTCTAGTGCTAGAAGTTAGACCTTGATGACAGATGTTCAGCCATTATAAATCACTTAGTTTCATCACATTAACCTAATAGATATTCTTTCTCCTTCATTTTAAACACAACTAATAGAACTCATTTAATATAAATTTTTGTCGGAAGGAAATAAAAAATCTGTCAATCTAATAAAAACACAGGTTGAAAGCATTTTTAAAAAAACATATAGTTTCAAGACCTGCCTGGGCTAAAAGTAAGACCTTGTCTTTATGAAAAATGAAAAGGTTAGACAGTGTGGTGGTATGCGCCTGTAGTCCCAGCTACTTGGGAGACTGACACAGGAGGATCGCTTAAGCTCAGGAGTTGGAGGATGCAGTGAGCCATGATTGTACCACTGCCCTCCAGACTGGGCAAGGATCTCCAGAATGAGATCCTGACTAAATAAATAAATAAATAAATGTGGAGAAGCAACTGTTATATTAAGAGATGAAGAAAATGGGGTAAAATTAGATTAGATAATAATAGAAGAAAATATTACTAGTGGTTGATCTAATCATAAGGAGAAACACATGAGTTGGCATAAGGGGGTTAGGAGAAGAAATGTTAGAAACAGAAAACGGAAAAGAAGAGCCATGAGAACTGCTAACATCTTTGCTTTTGAGATGCCTTTTATATGTGTGGCAGCACTCTAAGTAATATGTAAGCCATTTCCTCATTTAATTTTCACACCAACCTGTGAGGTAGATATTATTTATTTCACAGAAAAAACTGAGGCAAGAAGATGTAACTTGTCCAAGTTAGTGATAGTGAAAACAGTCAGTCTGGCTTAAGAAACTTGCTTTATTCACTAGCATGCTATGGGAAAGTGCAGGAGCAAAGTGAAAAAATATCAACCAAAGCAAAGAAAAATGAGGAAAAATGAGGAAATTTTCTACTTAAGAAAGATGAGTTCTACTAAGGGACCACTCTCCAGAATTATTCTTTTGCTTTTAAAATCAGCATTTAAACCAACTTGCTTCTGAATGCTGACTTTAAAAGTTGGCTCCAAAGGAAATAAAGACTCTCTGTAACACAGAACATTAGTCAGAAGCTATAACAACACTTATAATTTTCATTTCACCTTGGGATATAATTTGAATGTATTCCATTTCAGTTTTGTAGCTGGTATGGTAGAGTCCAAGATTCACGGAGTTTCATGTTAAGACTCCACTGCATCTACTACTATGACTCTACTGCATTTACAGCTATAACTGTAGTTCTGAAGAGACAATTTCCTATTCTCACATAGTTGAAATATTAACACTCCACTGAAATCTAAAAAAATAAAAACCAAACGCATGCCTCTGCCCCCAAATCCTGTATTCTTATAGACTATTTTTCTCAGAATTCTGAAAATGCTTCTCAATTTGTCATTAGTTAAGCATAAGACCATTTTTTTTTTTTTTTAAAGACAAAGCCTTAATTGGAGTTTGGGCATAAGAAATCAGTTTACAAAGATAATTATCCTTTTTGTCAAACACTTAAAATATATGTATAAAGACAGGATTACTTGCAGCTATTTTAAAAACAGAATTAGGTTTACAGCACTTGGGAGAAGTTCAGCAACTCTTAAAGGATTACTCAGTCAGCCTTAAACAAACAGATGTACCTTGAGAGGAAATATTGTTTGCCTTTCTTAGAGAGATTCCATTTTATTTCAAACATGTTTTTAGCCATAGAGAGTTACTAGTTTACTCTATTCAATAAGTCTTATTATTGAATAATTAGTAAGTCATTAATCTGGTGGTCCCACAAATGTCTAAATGCCACTGAAATTCTATCCCCACTCTAACAGTTCACATAGCTTTTTTTAAAGGGGCGTTTATTAAAAACTTGAAAACAATGTCACACATAAATGGAAATCAAAATATAAGGGAAAACGTTCCCCCA